ATGGTTTCTATGTAACAAAAGAAAAACACAAACATTATTAGATGGGGAATTTCATTCCACTAAACTGCAGAAGTAATAGAGAACTGTTGCTTATTCTTATGGAAATGGTAGAGAAGGCATCTTTTTTTAACTTTATTTTTATTATGAGACAGGTAGCAGTGCGAAAGGCCACATTCAGAAAAGTTATTATTTTTTAATAAATCTAGATTGGCAGTTGTGTAAGACACCTTCACATTAATAAGTCACACCGTCCAAATGTGAGTTAGGGCAACGTTAGGTGGGTTGAGCTGTACTTGCATTGTACTCAGAAAGCAATCATGATGTGGGAAGTCCAACGGTACAATTTGCATACCATTGTATAGTTCTCCTTGCAATTCACAATGCAAAGTGTTCAAATTCCCATCTCTCTCCAATTCATGATGTAAATGAGGAATAGGAAAGTAGTGTGGATGACCAAGGCCAGGGGAGGGCTGGCAGCCTTAGGCCTGGGGGGCAAATCCAGTCAAGTGGCTCATTGCACCAAGAGGAGAGTAAAACACCTTTCCCATGTGATTGAAGGGGGTGGAGGGCAGTCACCTAAACAGACACACTCACTGACAGGCACACACACTTGCTGATCTGACACACACTAACAAACACACACTCACTCACTGACAGGCACACACAGACACACTGTTACAGACATACTTACTCACACAGACAGACAAGCTAGCAAACACACTCACACAGACATACATACTCATAAACACGCACACACAAACATTACACTTTTAAAGCCAGTAGACAGGGGTTTAGTAAGGGGACAGGGCTGTAGGAGCTGTACTTGGGGGCTAGGGGCTGAAGAAGGTTGATGGCTACAATTTGGGAAAGGGGCTGTGGTGTGGGTGATATGGGTTGCAATTGGGGGAGAGGAGCTGTAGTGGGGATTGTGACGAAGTGCCCTTCGCCACTTGGTACTGGAGAGGCCTGCTTGCCAGCCTCCTCCCCTGTGACTATGACTCTTTGATGTATTTGCCTTTAAAGCCCCTATTCTACCTTCAGACAGACTATTTATGTAGGCTGCTTTATTTATCTTATGATTTAGTCACCCTGTACCCATTATAGGTGCAGGGTGTGTGTAATGTAATTGTTTATAGTGTGTGTGTATGTACTGTGTAATGTATTGCCTGCTCTCTTGTATTGCTGAGGTTTGCTACCAACTAGGTGGGTTTGGCTATGGAGCTTGTCTAGTGCTCTCTGTTGGTTGCAACAGCAATATGCACTACCTGAATTGCAAGACTGGTTCATTTGCATATTCGGGTAGATTTGCATATTGCTAATTTTGCAGGCAGGTGAGATATTTACTGTTAAATATTGTCTCCCTCCACCTTTTAAAATGTGCCATTGTGTTGTGATAATTCACTGTGTGTTGCTTGATATGGTTTGTCTGTTTGTGATTTTATTGAGGTTTCACAACAATGTTATTGTGGTGACCATATTGGCTGGTCTCAGGGGAAATAAAGGTTTTGACAGTTCTTCTTGATCCCTCTAAACGTAGCCTTGTCTCGTTATTGGAGGGAGCTGTTATAATCACACTGGGGATTGCTATGCTCTGCATGCTCCCCTGAGTTTGAGTCACTTAGCTCTTTTAAGAGCTTGTTCCTGACACGCTCTCCTTGGAGGAGGGGTCTTCACCACACAGTCCTGGATGCTGGAGGTTCATACAGGGTGGAAGGAAGAGTTCTTTCCCACACAGTCCTGGAGGACAGAAGCTGATCCAGGGTGGAAGAAAGACGGCGAGACTCCAGTCAAGATATGGCAGTTGCGGAGTCTGCGGTGGTTGCGGTGTCTGCTGCAGCGCTTGCAGTCCTCAGGAAGCGCTAGGAGCATCCGCCAACGGAGGGTACTCGGTCGGAGTACAAGGAGCTCCGTTACATTGGTGGCAGCGGTGGGATGGCGTCCTAGTGCGAGGAGAAGCAGCTCGGAGACACTGGTATCGTATGAGAGGTTATTGAGGGCAACGCTAGCCACTGTGCAGCATCCCTAACTACAGCAGCATGGAGCAGGGATGGATAGAGCCCTGCGAAGAGCACCTCAACATGATACGTCGCTACGAGGACGACGCTAACATTGAGGAGGTAAAGAGGCGGTTGGTCTGCTATGGCCCAGACCTTTCGAACGAGGTGGTCCACCAAGTAATGCGCCAGTTGAGTGCTGAGAACAGTGCTGCAATGGCCTTTGAGCGACAACTGTGGAGGTTGAGGATATGGACACCTAGTCTCCAGCGGCAGTGCAAGTTACAGGGAGCCGAAGGTGTCGTCCTTCCTCCCCAGCTGCAGTGCAAGTTACAGGGAGCCGAAGGTGTCGTCCTTCCTCCCCAGCAGCAGTGTGTCCTACAGGGAGGGAGCCGAAGGTGTCGTCCTTCCTCCCCAGCAGCAGTGCAAGTTACAGGGAGCCGAAGGTGTTGTCCTAACTCCCCAGCGGCAGTGCGAATTCCAGGGGGCCAAAGGTGTCGTCCTTCCCCCCCAGCGGCAGTGTGTCCTACAGGGAGCAGAGACAGTTGGTCTCTCTCCCCAGCGGCAGTGCAAGTTACAGGGAGCCGAAGGTGTCGTCCTTCCTCCCCCAGCAGCAGTGCAAGTTACAGGGAGCCGAAGGTGTCGTCCTTCCTCCCCAGCAGCAGTGTGTCCTACAGGGAGCAGAGACAGTTGGTCTCTCTCTCCAGCAGCAGGACAACGTTATGGGAGTGGAGACAGGCGGTCTCCCTCTCCAGCGGCAGCCTGTGTTTCAGGGAGAGGAGCACAGCACTCTATCTCCCCAGCGGCAGCTTACCCTACCAAGGGCAGACACCAATCTCCCAGATGGCGTAGAGGGGACCGTGGTCTCTGTGCCCGACCTACAGGGATGCTGGACAGCCTGTCCAGATCCCCAACTACCCTCACAGGGACAACAGGAGGAGGGGGTAAGTACGAATTCCCTTCCCCAGCTAACTCCTAACTTGGCCCCAGGGTTAACAGGGGAGATGTTAACCCCCACTGACCCCCACGTTCCCCTGGCTACTGAGCCGGACTATGTCCCAAGCCCCCCAGCGGAAGAGCTGGCAGCTGGGCAGAGTGCAGTCGGCCTCTGCCCTCCCTTTGTCCCTTGTCCAGAGCCTGATGTCCTGCAGGCTATACCAGCAGAAGAACTGGCATCAGGGCAGACCGCCCCTGGCCTCTGCCCTACCGATCCCCTTGTCACAGGACTGGCCTGCACCCCCCTCCTCCCAGCAGAAGCGCTGGCATCAGGGCAGAGCGCCGCAGGCCTCTGCCCCTCAAGTCCCCACAGCGTGTTGCCCCATCACCCCAGAGGAATACCCAGGTGCAGTCACTGTGTGCTGTGGGTGGGCTGCTCTAATAACTGTTTGTTGTGGGTGGGCTACTCTGGCACTTGCGTATGGTCTGTGGGTGAATCGACTAACTTAGGCACTGACCGACAGAAAGTCAGGTGCCTGGTTAGTCTTTCCCCCGAAGGGGAGATATGTGACGAAGTGCCCTTCGCCACTTGGTACTGGAGAGGCCTGCTTGCCAGCCTCCTCCCCTGTGACTATGACTCTTTGATGTATTTGCCTTTAAAGCCCCTATTCTTCTACCTTCAGACAGACTATTTGTGTAGGCTGCTTTATTTATCTTATGTTTTAGTCACCCTGTACCCATTATAGGTGCAGGGTGTGTGTAATGTAATTGTTTATAGTGTGTGTGTATGTACTGTGTAATGTATTGCCTGCTCTCTTGTATTGCTGAGGTTTGCTACCAACTAGGTGGGTTTGGCTATGGAGCTTGTCTAGTGCTCTCTGTTGGTTGCAACAGCAATATGCACTACCTGAATTGCAAGACTGGTTCATTTGCATATTCGGGTAGATTTGCATATTGCTAATTTTGCAGGCAGGTGAGATATTTACTGTTAAATATTGTCTCCCTCCACCTTTTAAAATGTGCCATTGTGTTGTGATAATTCACTGTGTGTTGCTTGATATGGTTTGTCTGTTTGTGATTTTATTGAGGTTTCACAACAATGTTATTGTGGTGACCATATTGGCTGGTCTCAGGGGAAATAAAGGTTTTGACAGTTCTTCTTGATCCCTCTAAACGTAGCCTTGTCTCGTTATTGGAGGGAGCTGTTATAATCACACTGGGGATTGCTATACTCTGCATGCTCCCCTGAGCTTGAGTCACTTAGCTCTTTTAAGAGCTTGTTCCTGACACGCTCTCCTTGGAGGAGGGGTCTTCACCACACAGTCCTGGATGCTGGAGGTTCATACAGGGTGGAAGGAAGAGTTCTTTCCCACACAGTACTGCAGGACAGAAGCTGATCCAGGGTGGAAGGAAGACGGCGAGACTCCAGTCCAGATACGGCGGTTGCGGAGTCTACGGTGGTTGTGGTGTCTGCTGCAGTGCTTGGAGTCCTCAGGAAGCGCTAGGAGCATCCGTCAACGGAGGGTACTCGGTCGGAGTACAAGGAGCTCCGTTACAGGGATGTTATGAGGCAGTGGTGGGGGGGCATGGGGCTAAGGGGGGGACAGGAGCTGAGAGGTGGAGGGACAGGAGCTGAGAGGGAGAACAGGAGCAGAGGAAGCAGATAAAAAAACAAAAAAAACTAAAGTGTATTTCCCCCCTCCCTGAGTCTTACCTTAGGCCAGGAAAGAGTGGGCAGGAGCCAGCCATAGACATAGAATACCTAGACGCTGCACTGCGTGCTGAGCAGCAAGATATGTGGGCGCCATCTTGGACCGGGTGCCGCTCTACTGAAGCTATTGAAGAACACTTGGAAAGTCCATCTCTCAAAAGGTAAGTGAAGGACTTGGGGCACTTAATACCCCTACAGTCTTAATACCCCTACCCCAGCACACATAATGTTAATACCCCTACCACAGCACACTATGTGTATTAGAGCGGCGCCCGCATTTCTCGCCGCTCAGCACTCAATGCCATAGACCGGCGTCTATGTATTCTATGTCTATGGGAGCCAGCAGTCAGTGAAGTCTGCCTCTCCTGATGATGTCAGGAGGAGGGGGCGTGACTTCCTCTGCTCTTCTCCCAGACTCCCCAACGGTCCTGGGAGAAGAGCAGTGAAAGTCACTCCCCGTCCTCCTGACATCATCAGGAGAGGCCGGCCGAGGCAGGGGATTCAAATTTTTCCTTTTTTTGGCTGGATGCAGACGGCCCTGCATTTAGGGTGGCTTGGGGGGGCAATTCCCCCCCTGCACCCTGTCCCAGCCCGCCCCTGACCAAGGCACTGCCTGCAAATGCACGTTTTGCCAAGTGAGGGGTGATTGTACAATGCATTTCGAGGCATAAGATGATTTTCACAGGGATCTAACTGCCAATGGTACCAAAGCTGTTAGGAAATCAGATATTTGTTTCTAAATTGCATAAGAAAACAAACAAAAAAAACAGCCACACAATTGTCCTTTTGCAAAACATTTTTGACAAGCTTTATTTATAAAATGTTAGATAATACAAAAGGCAAGAGAAAGGAAAATTAGGAAGGCCATACATTTTAGCACTGTAACCACTGCATAGATAGTTTCATATTACTTGTCTTACGGAAAACCCTAAGGTTGACAAAGGGTAGCCATCCCACATGAAGGCCGTGGTATTCAGGCTCCGGGCCTTGTGGGATCCTTTATATACCTCAGTGTTGAGAGTACATGTGTGAGAGTGCACACTGATGTGGAACTGGGCAACTGAAGAACCAGGAGCCAAAGAGGACCTGTGTCATGAAGATGGCAGTTGCCACGAGGGACAGCACAAGGTAAGTAAAAACTCACCTCTCCTGCACCCCGCGGCCTCTGGGTCCATACCAGATCTGTTGGTTTCATGGGTCTTTACGAATTTATGCAAAGACCCCCGAAATTGAGAAATCAGCTTTGAAGGCATTATAATTCTTCATCCAGAATACACTTACTTATATTCATCTTAGGCAACAATGGATGAAGATCTAAATGTTGTAAACATCAGACATTATAAACTCTTAGGACCATACCACCTTGATCTGGAAGGCTATTTCATGTACTGATATTAACAGAGGGAAACACTTGGGGTTAGGGTTAGGATACGTATTAAGGAAGCGCTCAGGTTTTAGAGGTAGTCAGGCTCTGGACCAATGTTCAGTACGGTTTTATTAGCAGGCTGTCCCAAAAAATGTGGCATAACGTTCCTACTTGTGAATTACATCTCCAACGTGTTAGAGCATGTAGGGAAGATATGGGCTAGTCTTGAAGGGACCATATACCAACTTGGAATCAATTTCCTATTTGCTCTTCCCAGTGTGACATAGACTTGGATGTACCGTGCATATTAGAGACCGCTTTGTGCCATGTCAGCAGAGAATAGGTTTTGCCCAGCTTATTTCCCACTGAGACATAAATGTAATTTTTTTTATTGTCATTTTGTTCCAGCAGTGAGCAGTAACAGGTTGACAGTGGCTTAGAATTTTTCTGCAATCCGCAGCATAGTATACAAAATGGACTGATTTCATTGCCCTTCAGTGGCTTGATCTTGTTAGCAGTTAATCTATGTTTGACTTGGAGGTAGCAAAACAAATCCCTAGAAAATAGTGAGCGTAGGTCTTCGAATGGATATATTTCAGAGTCTTTAAAGAGATGGCGTATGTATTTAAGGCCTTTACGAGGCCAGCGTGTTATTGGCAGGTCTGTGGTAAAAATCACCAGTACTGCGACAGAGGCAAGACATAAGCCTCTGTGCAATGTGAGTAGCTTTGCTAACCAAGGTGAGCAATCCTTATAACGCCCCTGTTGTCCAAAGCTTTGGGCTTAAACGACATTACTAGTAGTCTGAAAGGGAAACTATAGTGCCAGGAAAACAAACTTGTTAAAAAAAAAAAACTTTTGTCACTAACCTGAGTCCAGCGTCGATGTCCCTCGTCACTGGCTTGGGTCCACCTTCTCTCCTCCCCCTGCTGACGTCACCCGGGGGGATACCTAATGCGCATGAGAGCCAATGGCCGTACTTGCATTAGAGCAGCCCTGTAGGAAAGCATTATTCAATGCTTTTCTATGGGGTTTTGGGTGATGTTCGACGTCCCCATGCATAGCGTGAGGACGTCCATGTCAGTTAGGCCAGTGTTTCCCAACCCAGTCCTCAAGGCACACCTACCAGTCCAGGATTTAGGGATTACCCAGTTGTGTCTAAGGTGTTTTTACAAAGAAGAAAAAAAACACCTTAGACACAACTGGGTAATCCCTAAATCCTGGACTGGTAGGTGTGCCTTGAGGACTGGGTTGGGAAATACTGAGTTAGGCAACCAAAAGTTGCCTAACAGACCGGACGTCCCTTTAGTGGCTGTCTGCTATACAGCCACTAGAGGTGGAGCTAACCCTAGCAGGTAATTATTGCAGTCTTTTAACCCCTGCTGAGGGTTAAGGGACCTGGGACACAGTACCCAGACCACTTCAATGAGCTGAAGTGGTCTGGGTGCCTATAGTGTCCATTTAAGAAAGAACTAGTCCACAACCTGGCCAGGCTATAGTAATGCTCTTGACAAAGTCCACAGAGAACGAAACACGTAGATTTAAGCTTTTTGAGTATTGTATTTTGTATGCTGTGGATTTTCCATTTAACTTTATTTAGAAGTGAACGTATTATTGCCTGGCCAGACACAGTGGTCACGCCGACAGAAAAAAAAATACTTGCCTTTCTCGCAGCAAACTGCCACCCGACCTCCTTTTGTATCTGTCCTCATCATGTGCAGGGTTCCTAGAGATGCCGGCCACTGCGGTTCCGGTTTTAATAAGGAGATAGCCTTTGCCCACATTAAAGATGGCGCTTACGTGCGTGCGACGTCACGTCATAGACGTGCACGCACGTTTTGGGGTTAGAGGCCGCATACAACCAATTACAGCTTGAAGAGTGTTATTTAAACCCAAATTGCCTTTTGATCAGTGCCCTGTCGTGGTTTCCCTTTGCTGGAAACCACGACAGGACACTGATCAAAAAGCAGTTTGGGTTTAAATAACACTCTTCCTGATCATATTTTTGACTTTGGCTTTATTTTGACTTCCCCGATTTCTGGTATCCTTGACTCTTGGCTTTCCCTCAACGTTGTGTCTCATTCTGTATCCCTGACCTCGGCAAGTATTTTGACTATTCTTGGCTACGTTAAGTCCGGCCATTCTAAGGTCCGGTAAAATGTTATCCTTAGTCCTTGGTGTGATACTATTTCTGCGTGCGGGATCAACTAGTAATCCTGACACTCCTGCTCTGGTAATAGCCTTCTAGACCCTGCAGAAGCCTCCTGTGTGTGAGTCAAGTTCAATTTACAGAGCAGGAGATAAGACATTTTAAAGTACGTTACTTCTGATTGACAATAAAACCATTTTGTTTTCATGCAGGCTGTATCCGGTGTTTCTAGGGCTGTATAGACAGAAACAAAAGTGAATAAACTCCTAAATGGCAACTAATTGAGCAGTGAGATTGCAAGGGTATGATCTATACACCAACACTGCTTCATTAAACTAAATTTTTTTTGTGACTATAGTGTCCCTTTAAAGGGACACTATAGTCACCAGAACAACTACAGCTTATTGAATTTGATCTGGTGAGTCGAATCATTACCTTCAGTCTTTTTGCCTGAAAATGAAGTGTTTACATTACAGCCTAGTGATAACTTCACAGGACACTTCTCAGATGGCTGTTAGAGATCTTTCCTGGGTCATGGCTGCCTAAAATGCATCCAAACATTCAGTGTCTCCTCCCTCTGCATGCAAACACTGAACTTTCCTCATAGAGATTAATTGATTCAGTTCATCTCTGAGGAGATGCTGATTGGCCAGGGCTGTGTTTGAATTGTGCTGGCTCTCCCCCTGATCTGCCTCTTTGTCAGTCTCAGCCAATCCTATGGGGAAGCATTGTGATTGGATCAGGCTACCACTTCTGATGATGTCAGCAAACAGTGGGCAGGTCTAAAGGAAACAGGGACAAAGCATGCAGCTCCAGACTTGAATAGAAGTAAGATTTTACTATATTTAGGGAGGCAAGGGGGACTAGATAGTGGTTTTAACCCTATAGGGTCATGAATACATGTTTGTGTTCCTGACCCTATAGTGCTCTTTTAAAGTCTAAAGTAATCACAATTCAGTTAGTCACCCCCTTGGTGTGGTATACACCCCCTAGGTTTGGTTCCAAGTTTTTTGACACGTATATATTTATTTATATTTGTGTGTTATTGAAATAAATGTGTGTGTGTTGGACGGCTGGAGTATAATCTATATTGTATTGCATTGTACTGTCTTTGTTTTGAGAGGCAGGTGTATTTATTTGGTTTGAGTTTAACCCACTATTTCAGAGGGACTCTCCATTCGCTGGTGAGCCGAATTCACTTAGGGTCCCATTCTTGCATAGAAGCAACCCGATTTGGAATGTTGTTAGATTGGAGCGCCTTTGTTATCTTAGCAAATTCCTTTCGCCTCGCAATAGTCGTAGAAGGTAGGTCTGCAAATTGGCTTAGGTATCCAGTGAGCTTGGTCAATGCGCCAGTCAGCCTTGGGTAGTGTGTAAACTAGGATCTTAAACAGGGAGAGGCCTTACTGCGCTACCTTTCACTCAGAGCGATCTTAGGCCTCTGTTTGTTTGAGGATCAGCTTTTGATGTTCTTGCTACAAGGAGGTTAGTTGGGCTACCACGGCGTTGTTGGCCCCACAGACCTCCTCTAGTTTTCTCTACATGTGGACTGTCCACTCCTTGAAGGCATAAAGTTATTTTTGGAGCCCTGATGTCATGGATTGGATGTAAGTCTTTAAAAAAAATTATTTATTTTTTTATTATTTTTTTTTACAATAAATGAGAATTTATATATACATATATGTCACATCAAATTAAAGCTCCTTCAAAAATGATATATAATCTGTATTTGTGCAATAAATGAGAAAGATGGAAATTGTGGCTTACCACACACATTGCAAAAGTGCCAAAATTGCTTGCTATAGACAAGCAACTAAAACTGTTTCCTTAAGGGGTGAACTTTTACTTATGTTAATTGTGCCAAGAACAGCACAGTACACTGTTGTGTATTTATAATTAGAGTGTAATAATTGTATAACAAATCAAAGCATTCAAAACGATTCAAATTACATGCATTGGGAAACGTAAAAAATTGACTTATCGTATGCATTCTCAGTTTGTACTGCAGT